ACTCAAGCAGATGTTATGTCAGGCATATCATCATAGACACCCTTAGTTGTGAATATCTGAATGGGAAAACATGCATCTACCTCTGGGCTCTGTAATCAAGTCCTCATTATTTCAGTGCATCCATCCATATACATACATGTGTAAATCAGTTGGATTATATAATTGGAGCTGGCTTCTGAACTCAGAAATAAAATCCAAATTTCCAGCTATGCCAGTTTGATCTAAATAGAATGTTGAGAATAAAAAGATCTAATAATCATTGTTCCATCCGAATCTAACAGAGAAAGATGCAGGCAAATACATCAATCTCTTCAAGCACAGTGTGGCATTAGGGAGTCGTGATTTATAACCCTCCTGTGAAACAATATGAGCATTCGCCTTAGGGTATGTCTTCACTACCTGCCGTATCGGCGGGTACCAATCGATTTATCCGGGATTGCTATATCGCGTCTCATTAAGACACGATATATCGATCCCCGAACGCGCTCACCATCGGCTCCGGAACTCCACCAGAGCGAGCGGCGGTGGCGCAGTCGACGGGGGAGCCGCAGCCGTCAATCCCGCGCCGTGTGGACCCCAGGTAATTCTATCTAAGATACTTCAACTTCAGCTACGCTATTCGCGTAGCTGAAGTTGCATATCTTAGATCGATCCCCCCCCAGTGTAGACCAGCCCTAAGACACACGAGGACAAAACCCCACTCGTGCCCTTCTCAATCACCAAACATGCGGTTCCATTAATATGCCTAGGCCAGTGGTTCTCAAACTTTTGTACTGGTGACCCCTTTCACTTAGCAAGCCTCTGAGTGTGACCCCCCCCCCATAAATTAAAAACACTTTTTTAACATATTTAACGCCATTATAAAGCTGGAGGCAAAGCAGGGCTGGGTTGGAGGCTGACAGCTCACAACCCCCATGTAATAACCTCGTTACCCCCTGAGGGGTCCCGACCCCCACTTTGAGAACCCCTGCCCTAGGCGGTTGAAAGCGGAGAGGAGACGAGCCCCGGGAATGCCGGGCTAGCAGCGAACTGCTCTGCGTCGAGTGACCCGTGGGTAGGGTGACCAGACAGCAAGTGTGAAAAATCGGGACAGGGGTGGGGGGGTAATAGGAGCCTATATAAGAAAAAGACCCAAAAATCAGGACTGTCCCTATAAAATCGGGACATCTGGTCACCCTACCCGTGGGGCTCCAGGAAATCTTGGCTTCCCCCCCGGCCCTTTGCAGCGAGCTGTGCCCTGGAGAGAAGGGGTCAGATCCGCACAGGCCGGAGGGCACGTAGGGGAAGGGGGGAAAGCAGAGAGGGGCGGAGGGGAACGAGCGGGGCTGGAGCCTGCAGACGCTGGAGCGTGTCCCCGCCCCTCCCCGGGGTGCGACTGCCCGGGGCAGCCAATGGCAGGCGGCCGCCTCACAAAGGGGCCCCGTTTGTGTAGGGAACCCCCGGGCCCGGCGTGTTCTACGGACTGCGGAGCGCAGGAGAGCAGCACCCTGGCCGGGCTCCCGCAGCCCGCACTCCGCGTAGGCGCCCTGTGCCCGGCGGGGGCGTGGGGGCGGCGGGGCGGGGGTCCTGCCCTCACGGCTGGCTGCCAGCTGGGGCCGCCCCTGCAGGGCCGGGAAGACTCACGGGGCGGTGGGATGGGGCTGGGCCTGGGGCCTTTTTCTTTCCTTCCCCTTCCCTCCCCTCCCTCGGCAAATCGGCGGGCCCCGGCTCAGAAAGCAGGAGCTGATGTTCCCCTTTGGAATACACCCTGTGGCTCTAAACGTCACCTATTAAAAACAGCTTTCCTGGGGCAGGAAACCTTCGCACCCCTTACAGAGGCTGGACAACCCGCCGCCTCCTCCCAGCGGAACCCGCTCTGAAGCCCTGTGGTTGTATAAAGATGGTATCCAATGAGAAAAGTGTTCGGATCTGATCCAAAGCCCACGGAAGTCAGTAGAAAGTCTCCCATTGACTCCTGTGGGCTTCGGGCCTGGCCCTTCGTTTGAGAGTTGATTGATAAACCAAGCTTTCATGGGTAGTTTTTTAGGCCATTTCTGCAAGGATTGGCCCTGATTGTTAGGAGATTTGTGACAAGTTTCCTCTACTAGTGGGGTGTGAGGGTGTCAGTGGGTGTGTGCGTGTGTTCGTCGTGTGTGTATCCCAAAGACAAGACGTGTGTAAATACTGAAATGACTTTAATCCACAACTGGTCAAAGAGTTCTACCTTCCTTGAGGTTTTTACCAAGTTACTGGACAAATAGTTTCTCATTACTTCAATTTTCTTTAGCAGGTGCACTCTTTTTTTAACCAATAAAGTTACGGGTTAAGTGTAAAGGCTTGCCTACACCTGGAGTTATTCAGGAATGGCTATTGTGCTCTAAATTTACACCTACCTTAATCTGAATTAACTCTCAAATATAGACAAGTTTTAACTGTTACTGGGTATCTGTAAAAGATCCGAGCATAGATAGAGTTACCACAATATACTTAGAGTCCTTGCACAGAGCAAACAGTAGTGGACAGAAAGGGTGTGTTGGATACTGACCCGTTGCTGTGGAGGGATCTCTCATAAGCACTGATTTGTTTGCCAGGCTCAGATGTTCAAAAGAGCTCAGGGCCAGGTTTTCAGGTGCTCAGCACCCACAAATGGCGACAGATTTCTACAGCAGCTCAGCTCCTGTTTAGGCACCCTGATCCAGGCCAGATTTTCAAAGGCACTCAGCATCCAATGTGTTGAGCTCTTTGAAAAATCTGGCCCTAATTGCAAGCCTGTGGGCTTCTATAGCAGCACAATTTCGCAGCCCAGAAGAAGGGGCAGACAGAGCTGTCCCACTCAGCACGAGCCCTAGTAAGCGGGTGGCATCCCTGACCTGAACTTGCCGGGGAAGTGTTCCTTATATGCCATCTCTTATACAGAGGGCCACTTGAAACCCTGTTGTGTGGAGTGGGGGGCAGATTCATGGTCCTACCTCGTCCCTGTCCCCTTCGGGTGACCCTGGAGGAGTAGGGAGGGAGCAGAGTGCAGGGTCGGGCCCTGATGCAGATGCCGCAAGGGAAGGGAGAGAAGGCCCCTTGTACCTCGGCTCTTTTACACCCCTGCCAAAAGGTCTAGCTCAATCTGGCCTTCAGTCCTGGCACAGTGCAAACTCTCATTGCAGCCAGTGGGAGAATCATAGAATATCAGGGTTGGAAGGGACCTCAGGAGGTCATCTAGTCCAACCCCCTGCTCAAAGCAGGACCAATCCCCAGACAGATTTTTGCCCCAGATCCCTAAATGGCCCTGGGTTTAGCAGGCCAATGCTCAAACCACTGAGCTATCCCATACTGATGACTAATGACTGTCCGGGCTGTATTTGAAGAGGGGTTGGAAATCCTGGGGCTAACTTCTGCCCTCATGTCCACCGTCACTTCTCCTGCTGAAGGCAGTAGGAGTTCTGTGCCCATAGCCGAGGGCAGAATCTGATTCCCCAATCTTCTTTTAACCCCTTCGTCCCCATGCCTGCTGTATGGTTCATGCAGCTGCTCTGTAAACATGAGCTCTTTCTATGATTTCTATGGAAACTCAGATACTGAATGGGTTGGAATAGGCTTGAACCATCTGTTCTTCCCTAATTATAAACTGGATAGGAGGAACATGTTTCACAGTGACATCACTACAAATGTTCTTCTCTTATTCAGCATGCAGCCATCTGTGATTATTTGCTCATGTGCCAAAGATAATAAAGGGGGTTTGGGGCTGGGGCGGGGAGACAGACTGAATCCCGAATCGGTGCTGGGAATCTGCTGACATAGCCGGTTAGTTCTCTATTTTTTCTTTAAGAACAGAGCTTCTCTGGAGGAGGGTTTGCTACGTTTACCTTATCGCAGTATCTGCCCAGAACTGAAGGCTGACGTCAACAGGAAACAATGAAGGGTTCGCAGGTAAAAAATCCCCAAAGCCAACATCAGAGACTGTAGGGAAGGTTATGAGCAAAACTGCACAAACTGTCTCCCACGGCTGTCAAGAAGATCGTGGGTGAGACTCTGGCCTCATTGAAGTCAGTGGCAGAACTCCCAGGGGCCAGGATTTCAACTCGTATGAATAAATGCTGGCTTTAGAGGGGAAGGATTGTCTAGTGATTGGAGCAGTGGCCTGGGAGCCAGGCACTGCTATGGCCTGATCCTTTGTCATCCTTTGTTGTAGTGGCTTTGTTGAACCGGGGGAAGAAGGTGCTGTGAGTCCTTGCCCCGCATCTTTGTGCTCCTGTCCTGGGGGCCTGAGATTCGGACTTCCAGGTGCAAAGCAGTGTTAGTGCCTGCTGTGGTGTTCGGCAGCCCATGGGGGTATCACAGCCATGACCACACCCTACTCCTGTATACAATAACTTCTAAAGTCAGGCATGCGGACAATGCTGCACCCTGCAGACTTTTTGCCTACCTCTGTCAGCTGCAGGCAGGGCCGGCTTTAGACACCAGCCGACCAAGCACATGCTTGGGGCGGCACCTCAGAAGGGGCGGCCAATGTTGGGGTGGCGTGGGGCACTCGAGGGGTTTGGGCGGTCCGGCCTGGTGCAACGCTCGGGGCGGGGGGTTGGGTGGCCTGGCACGGCGCGGCGCTGGGGGGTGGGCGGGGGTTTGGGCGGCCCGGCGCAGCACTGGGGGGGAGGTGTTACCGTGGGGCGGCGCTCTTCTTTTTTGCCTGGGGCGGCAAAAAAGTTAGAGCCGGCCCTGGCTGCAGGACATCCCCTAATGCTGTTGTGGCTTTTAAAGCCATAACAGAGCCCTCTCTGTCCCTCAGTTTCCCCTCTGTAACACAGGAATAGGACTACTTCCCTAGCTCTCAGCCCGGCTATGAGGCTGAACTAGTTAATGTTAGTTAATAGAAGGTGTTACTGTATATAGGCACTAAGTGTTAGTAAGATTTTGACAAAACTGTACCATTTCCCCAGCGGTGGAAAGAGTCCCAGTCCAGGAGTGACCCTTCGGAATTCACCGAGAAGGAGAAGGAGAAGATGGCTGAGACTGAGCTCCGGAAGCTGCAGCAGCAGTTTCGGATCATGGTAGAAAGACGGAAGTCTTTTGGTGTCAAGGCTCAACAGCAAATGTACCATCAGGAGTAAGGGCAGCTTCATTTTGCTAGTCTGTGACTGAATAAGAAAAGACACCTTCAAATTTGGGCTGCACATGTCCTCTGTGGGCCTGATTCTGCTCTTACTTATGCCAGGAGCAGTTACATTAAAATCACTCTGAGCCAGATCCTCGGCTAGTGTAAAACAGTGTAGCTGCATCGACTGCAACAGAACTATGCCAGTGTGCACCAGCTGGGAATATGACCCTCTGTGTTTTGCATACTACATGATACTGAAGGTCCGAAAAGCACACATTTATGGGCTTTGGGCCCAATCCTCCAGGCCAGGTTTGTCCACTGGGAATATTGGATGCACAAGAAATACAGGATTGGGTTCTTTATGTGATACTATTCTCTTGATAACCTTTTGAATTTCCTGCTTTCACAGAATTAATCTCTTTGCTTAGAATAATTAGAGACCCTTTATTTAGGTCCTGATCCTTCCTTATGCAGAACTCCCTTTGAAACCAATGGGAGTTTTAAATGCAAGAGGACAGCTGGATTAGGCTATAAAGTGTATACATTTTTGGAAAAACTCTTAATTTTTTTGGTTGGGGGAATGTCTTTTATGTCTTTTAAAATAATTTGTCTAAACTAATTTCTCCCTCGCTAGAAGCTGAAATTGCAAGGGTAACATAGTTAATGTTTGCATGGTGCTTTGAAGATGCTAAGTGCCAAATATTATTTTTATCATTTTTTCTACAGAAAAGAAATATATTCACTGAAGCAGGACCATGAAGAGATTGCATTACTCTTGAGCCTCACAAAGTCACAGAGAAATATGATGTTAGATGACAGAAATTGTATGGAGCTTAAATTTCTTTTACAGACCAAAGAGGAATATGATTCTCTGATTAGAGCAACCAAAGCCCTGATAGCTGAACTTGACGATAAGGTAGAGTATCTGAACAGTTAAATGGATAAACATGATATACATTAGCAAAGCCACAAAACAAGCGACGCCCTCCTATCTGTCACAACTGGGATGGTAGCTCTTTCTTTGCTTTGCAGCTGTGCCGCTGTACAGCTTCAGGTGTCTTCACATTTCATAGCTTGTCAAAAGAGCAATTCACTGATTGCTACCAAGGTTCCCGGTGATGCATCCATTACACACCTGAGTAAGTCTTACCTGAGTAGTGCCAATGAAGTAAGTGGGACTTCTTGCATAAGTAAGGACTACTCAGGTAAGTGTCTTGGGATCAGACCCTAAATTGGCTATATGTTTTCAGGTTTCTGCTCTAACTGATAACGTAACTCAAAGGATTATGACCTAATAAGTTTGATCACCACAATGGCAATATCATGGCATGAAATAGCCAAAGGGAATAAAGCTCTGAATCAAATAATTAAAATCTTAGGGGGAAAAAACCTTGCCTGTCTGCAGTTTGTTTGCGGGGCAATCTTGTGTTTGAAGCATTTGTATATAAAATGTGTCAGCTCAGGCCTTGGAATATAATGTCACCTCTTGAGCAAAAGATCGCATGATTTGAAGACATTATGGACCACCTAATCTGTTCCTATTACAGTCAGTGGAAGTTCGCCCAGTGACTTTGGGTTTGACTCTGGTCCCTGTGTTCCTATACACCACTATGGTTTGAGGGGGTGGTCTGGATGGGGAAAAGTGAGTGTGGGATTTGCTGGGGAATATTCCCTACCCCACGCTTGCTCTCATTGTTTTTCTTGGAAAAGAGGCAAAAACAGTGTTTTTTGTTACATTCATTTATGTGCCCTGAGACTTGACATTTAAGTAAAACAACCAAATACGTACAATAAAAATATCCTCAGCTCTTAGGCTCAGCAGAGTTGGGTCTGGCCAGTATTTTTAGAGGAGACCAAGGAACACCCAAATGCTGCAGAAGTGATCTGGGAGATTCAGTAGGTGGCACCTTCCCTTGTGAGTCAATATGGAATCATTGACCATCGTGCTGGTAGGGGTCCGTTTCAGGGGGTCTTCCGACTGTTTCATTCTTCTGACCACTTTGTGTTGGGAGTTTCTTCCAACTCCTCATTTTTCCAAACACTTCATTATATGCACCTCCAGGAAGAGCTCCACAGACCGTAGGTGGCCCGTGGACCATGGCACAAGAGGTACCATGGTAAAATATTCTTCATTTTCTATTCTACTCTGTTGCATAGTGTTGCTGTGCCTGTTATGCCCTAAACAGCTGCTGTTTCACCCCAGAGGTAGCTGTATTTCAGTGGTGACTTAAAAATAAAGTGACTCCTGTTTGTAGTTTGTACTTCAGTGTCTGTAAAGAGGGATCGTTTGGGATAAAAGCTGCTCTATACATTTAAGATCATTACTGACATGGGTTACTGTAGTTCAGGTCAACACATGGGTATTTACATTGGCTAAACACACTGACAAAAATCCAGAATGTAAAAATAGATATTTTTTTTTGATTTTTTTTAGGTAGTGGAGATGGAAAAAAAGATCAAAACCCAAAAATTGGTTGTAGTAAAGGTGAAACAAGTGAATGATAGCAAATGGCTCCAAAAGCAGATTCAGATGCTGGAGAATCGCCTGAACCATGTAAGCAATCGCTTGCCCATGCTATTGATACATTTTGCACTGCAGCTCCTTGACTAGCTGGCTACCGGTATGTGGAGTGTTTGCAAGATGTTTTTCTATTATGAAGGTAATTTAAAAATTCAAGCACCACTGGTTCACCCAAGCAACGCAAAGGAATTTTCCTGTCTTCATTGACCCGCTCACTCTTGCTGTATATTGCACATCCTCGGCTCTTTCAGGCTTGTCCAGCCAAGAGCAATGTTTGCAATTTCCCAGGAGCTCCACGGGCTACACCTACTTTGCAGCAAAATGAAGCTGATTGCAGCCAATCGTCTTTGATACAGGGCAGGTGGACTTCAATAGCAACAGATCCCAGCTCCATCGTGATCCGAATGGCCTCTCCATAGGTTCAGTGGGCTGAGCTGCTGTATTAAAGACAAGGGTAGCCAGAGGGCTCACTTAAGACTTCCTTGGGCTGCGTTTGTCCTAGCCCTGCTGTATGTTGTTTGACCCATAATAGCTAGGCTCCTCTTTCCTGTTCTGCCTCCCTTACACACTTTTCATTTGCAACCTGTCTTCCCAGGTCACTGTCCATTTCGACACCATCCTGACCACGAATGCCACACTCAGAGAAGAGATTGAAAACCTGCGATGTCAGAAAGCTATTTTTGACAACTTCTATTCAAAACTTCATAAAACACTAGATCAGCAGAAGAAAACAATGGACACTGCAATTGAGCAGTCCAGCCAAGCATACGAACAGCGGTAAATGGGAGAGGAAAAGGCACAGGCCGCGCTAGCTCTTGGCAGTACATTTGGTATTGCTCTCCAGGGCACAAATGCCCATTTTATTCATTAATAAATATCCACCTAGGATCAGATTTTAAGAAGTGCCCACCAATTCTGGGTGCTCAACGTTAAATACCCGGGACTTGATTTTCAGAAGGGTGGATCTCTGGCAGCTCCCATTGACTTCCACTGGAGCTGTGGGTGCTCAGCACCTGTGAAAATCAGGCCCTAGATGTCCAAAGCTGGGCACCAAAAGCAAAGTTAAAATCAACTGTGAAAATGTGGGCCTAGCTGAGTTTTCTAGTGCCCAGGAAAGATGCCTGATTGATGGGCCTAGAATCTGAGCTCCTCTACTCATCCATAGGACAGGCAGAGTGGGGTGGTCTTCACCCAACTGCCCACTACCAGTGCACCTCAACCAGGATCATGTAGGGATGGCCCAGTCAAACACTTGGCCTCTTAGCTAAGACTGGGGGGTCTATCAGTGCCCATTGCAGTGGTGGTTTATGGGGTAGTGAACTTCTGTCCTATGGAAACTGAACCACACCAAGTCATTTCCCATGCACCACCGAACAGCAGCTAAGCTGGCACAACACTTGGTGACTACTAACCTGGGCCGTAGTCTAGCCAGTGTCCTTAAGGGGAAAGACTCTATATCCCATTCTCCTGAGTTGTGCTGTTGAGGAGCCACAGTCTGTCCATGCTGCTAGCTAATTGTTGAACCAGTGTCTGGAACTATATGTGTGGATTGGCACACAGTAAAGACTAACTAGTTAACGGGGCACGTTGTGTGATTTCTGGCTGGGTCTAGGGTGGAGGCACTGGCACGGATTTCCGCCATGAAGGAAAGGCGCTGCAAAGACATCGCACAGTATAATGTGGAATTCAGGGAACTGGAACGTGTCTTTGACCACGAGACCAAGCTGAAAGCCTTTATGCTCATCAAATTAGTGGATCGCTCAGACTTTGAGGAACAGGCCAAAAGGGAAGAAGGTACCATATGGGATAACAATCCCTCCCCCCCCCCCCCCCCGTCCCCCATATAGAAGAAGCTGGTGTGTGACTCAGCATAAAACCTCATGGTCACAGTCAGCTGGGTCTTGTCCTTTGAGAAGAATGTTCATAACAAGAAGACAGAACACTCTCAGATTGGGGTCCATCCTTGTCTTGCCCTTCCCAGAGAGGTTCTCACCCCTGTGTCTCTCACTCCGATAACCCCAGCACTGAGTCTGGGTGTGAGGGGATGGGGACGCTGAGCTGGGGTTAACCCCCTGCTCACGGGGGACCAGGGAGTGCCCCTACCCTCTCCCACAGAATGGGTGGCATTATCCATAAAAGTAATGATGATGTGAAAGGCCATTTGGGCGTCTGTGGACAGAGGACTAAATCCTGCTAGTGCTGAAGTCATTGGCAAAAATCCCATTGGCTTTAGGGAAGCTAGGATATGGTCCACGCTACGGAGAAACCGTGGTCTGGGTTCTCCACTCACTCCAGGATAACTTCATTGACTTCCACGGTGTTACTCCTGATTTAAACCAGGCAACCAACAGTGAGCTGTGTAACTGGGCAGCCGGTGTCAGGGGTCCCTTCCAGGCCTACATTTCTGTGATTCTATGGGACCTTGCGACAGTAGGAGGGAGAGAGGCGCTGGAGAGAGGTGTTGGTGGGGGAGGGGAAACAGGCTCTAGTTTCAGTGTACGCTAGAGGGGGCTAATCATTTATTGTTTCACCTCAGCTGTGAGGTGGCACCGATGGGACTGAGGGCAGAGGTCATTTCTCCTGTCATCCTCAGGGAGAAATTCCCATCCTCCACTTGTACTGTTACCTTGCAGGTGCTTATGGGCCATGTGCACCACCCTGGGTTTTCTTATTCTATGTCTACAGAGCAGCTGGGAGGTGTAATCCCAGGTCAGGTAGATGTACGCGCTCTAGGTCTGCTCAAGACATAGCAGTGTAGCCAGGGCGGCCTGGCTAGTGGCTTGGGCTAGCCACCCTAGGTACGTAGCCAGGGTGCCGGGCAGGAGTTCACCCGAGGCGCCCAACCACACTGCTATCTTTAAATGCTATTAAAACTCTCAGCTGCTGTGTAGATGTACCCTTAGTCTCTATAAATCAGCTCCCTTGGTCTCTCTGGCATGGCCCGTTCTCCAGCCCTGCTCTCGGTTTTGTTGGCCTTCTTGAGTTTGCATTCCCCCCCCCCCCCCCAACCTCCCCCTGCCTCCCCGTGGGCATGAATTTAATCCCCAGTGTTTTCAGGTGAATTCTTTTGAGTTTGCCCAGCGATGGGCAGGGCCGAAATGCAAGAAACGGAGGGAGTTCGCTGCCCCAGCAGTTTGCGCGTTGCTGTTGGTCTCTTCCAGCCCTCAAGGCAAGCAAGCGGACCAGAAAGAGCAAAGGCGAAAGCTTTGAGAGCTACGAGGTGGCTTACATGCGCCTGCTGAAGCTGAGTGAGGACGGGGACATTGGCCAGCTGGTGGCAGATTTCATCGAGAAAGAGGAGAAGAACTTTGCGTATTTCAGCTACGTCACCGAGCTGAACAACGAAATGGAGAGGCTGCAGAAGAACACACAGAACATGCAGGTTAGGCCCGGCTGCTTTTCTACACCCTTCACGCTGCCGTTTTGCTTTTAGACGGAGGTTTTCTTCTTTCGCTCTTGCAGCTGTTGCCGCCCACGCTAGGGCCTCAGCTGCCGATCCCACCGCAGGCGTGTGACTTTTAGAACATAAATGGGGCATCCAAAAAAAGAACTCTAGTCTAGGAGACGGAATCATCGTCTCATTGCTGCCATCTTGTACCCAGAGGAGGTACTGCAAGGAAGTGATGCTCAGTAGCTGTGCAGAGCTGGGGGTATTTGCTGCATGAGATGCTGACCAAACCCGATCCGATGTTATTTTTAGTGGCCGTGTCAAGGCTGTATCCCCACTTTGAACTTTAGGGTACAAATGTAGGGGCCTGCATGAGGACTCCTAAGCTTAACTACCAGCTTAGCTCTGGTCCGCTGCCACCATCTTAAGAATTCCCTCCCTGGGAAGCCTTGAGAAACCTTTCACCAATTCCCTGGTGAACACAGATCCAAACCCCCTTGGATCTTAAAACAAGGAGAAATTAACCATCCCCCCTCCTTCCTCCCACCCTCCTTTCACCAACTCCTGGTGAATACAGATCCAAACCCCCTTGGATCTTAAAACAAGGAGAAATTAATCTGGTTCTTAAAAAAGAAGGCTTTTAATTAAAGAAAAAGGTAAAAATCATCTCTGTAAAATCAGTATGGAAAATAGCTTTACAGGGTAATCAAACTTAAAGAGCTCAGAGGACCCCCCTCGGTCTTAGGTTCAAAGTACAGCAAACTAAGATAAACACTCTAGTAAAAGGTACATTACAAGTTGAGAAAACAAAGTAAATCTAAGACGCCTTGCCTGGCTTTTTACTTACAAGTTTGAAATAGGAGAGACTTGTTTAGAAAGATGGGGAGAACCTGGATTGATGTCTGGTCCCTCTCAGTCCCAAGAGCGAACCACCCCTTAAAACAAAGAGCACACACAAAAGCCTTTCCCCCCCCAAGATTTTAAAGTATCTTGTCCCCTTATTGGTCCTTCGGGTCAGGTGTCAGCCAGGTTACCCGAGCTTCTTAACCCTTTACAGGTAAAAGGATTTGGAGTCTCTGGCCAGGAGGGATTCCATAGCACAGTACACAGGAGAGCTGCCACCCTTCCCTTTATAGTTATGACAGGCCGTCACTGGAAATGTGCACAGAAATGTGACAGCAAATGGTGCAAAAAATTGTACTTGGGTGGGATCAAGCCTGGAAGCTCTTCCTAGGGCTTTGCCCGGGCGAGACTCCCATTGAGTGCTGCAAGAGAGGTGAGTGCTGGAGGACTTCAGGATTTGGGCCCCGGTTTGAGGTTTTGGTGGTAGATAGCAGTATTTTTACCTCTGTCAGTAGAAAGCTATTTCTGTCCTGCCCGGGAACCTGGCTCCCCTCCTGCCATAACATTTTCATCAAATCCAAACTCGAACTGAATAGGCACCACACTCCAGTTCCTAGGGACCGGATCCCCAGATCTTACTTTGCCCACTGTCTAAGCTCTGGCTTGTTTGACGGGTAAATGGAGTGTTCCGCGGCCTCCTTGCAGCCAGGGGATGATGCTCTAATTCATATGCTTTACCTGCTGTCCATTACTGCTGCGGACTGCAGCCTCCATGCAATCTGGTTAAATCAAAGCAGGATCAGCTGGAAGGGATTCCATGGGACACTCTCAACCTACCAAGGGCAGGGAGCTGGGGAGGGACCCATCAAATGGACAGGTTAGGCGTGGGGGGAGCGTGGAAGCATGAAGCCTTTCAGAGAAGGTTTTACTTTGCTACAGAGGATTGTTTTCAGGAGAAAATGGGGCCCCATACTGCACATAGCTGGCCGGGGGTCTCCCAGAGACTCAAGACAGACCTTAACACTCAGCTGTTGAGGTTTTCCCCAGTGGCTATGGTGTCTCCTGTTAGTAGAGATGCATGGCTGTGAATAGCTGGCCAAATGCTCCCCAGTTCAGCCACACTGACTTCTGTGCCGCCGAGAGGAACGTGGCCCAGCATACCTCTAAACTATGGTGAGAAAACCAGTGGGACTCTATTACTCTCTGGCCTGTGTTTGAGCAGAATGGGCCTGGAATTATTTTTCCGCCAGGCTCTGCTGCTGAGATCTTTAGGGGAAGGGTGCTGGTGGTTCCATCTTCTGCACAGCCAAAGAGAGTGGGACTGTAGGGAGAGGCTGCTGATGGCCTGTGTTTGGACACAGCAGAATTCCTCCCCGTGGCAAAGCAGCCGATCTCTTCCGCTTCCTTTCTCTACAAAAGCTGGGCTTTAAAATGTATCTTCTGTGGGGATTTAGTGCTTGGGAAAGCTTTTAGGTTGACAGCAAAGAAGAGGTGTGTTCCCCTGCTGAACAGGGTACAGCATAGGCAGTGCCAGCTGCTCTACCAGTATGTCTTATCCCAGATCTGGAGGGACCACTCTTACAGGGGAGAAGGATGTTCCGTCCTCATGGCCCAATTAGTCTTTCACTGCTCTGTGGAAACTTCCACACGGGGGTCAGTCCAGCAGAGAATTTGGTGATATGGACACTTGTTCCCCCAGGGGTTTGGACTGATATCCCAAAGCATCCATCAGCTGGTAACACCTTTCAGTTACTGCTGACCTGGATGTGAACCAGTGACCTAGAGATAGAAGTCTCTGTGTTACCTGTCAGGGATAGTTAATTGTCCCCTGGGATGAAGGAATTAGTTCCAAGGCTTTACCTCCCAATACTGCCTCTTGTTTGTGTGGCACTAAAGAAGAAAACACTTTATCAGCCCTGATACTTATGCCTGGGAGCTGGGACATAAGGGAAGCCTAGTGGTGGGAAAGGAATATCTTGGCTACTAACCAAAAATGTTTCCTTTCTTGACTTCTAACTAGGAAGCAGTTATATCCTAGTGACTGTGATCTGACTGTTTGGAAACGTGTCCTAAGCAGTGGCTAATTCATGTAACCAATGCAAGAACCAATGTATTCATTGTGGGTGAAAATAGAACATTAGGGACTCACACTCTACTTAGCTCCTTCAACTTTACGATGCATCACATGTGCCTTGGAGCTCTGCTTTGTGCTTTCCAGGTGCGGAACACCTCCGTCAGGCATTGGCTGGTTGTTCTAGTCACCCGGCAGACTGGCAGTTGAAAGCAATTAACACAAATCCAATATGCTGACTTTGTAACGCCCGTTTCACTCTTGGAGTTGAACAGCACAATGAGCTGTGATCTCTTGTGATTTTATTCTCCAGTTTAAAATGTTCAGCTGGTTCCAGCTGGTCACTACATTTTGGAGCAGAGCCATGGGGGTACTGGTCCTACTGGATCCTAGGACTACTGGTCCTCCAGTTGAATCCAACAGACACGAATATAGACAGGTTGAAGCATTCAAGGGAGTGCACTGGCATTTCCACTAGGGGTATAGCATTGGGGTGGCAGCATTTTTTTATTATATATTATTTGTATAACTGTAGTGCCTAGGAGATGTGTCAGGTGCTGTACAAACGTGCCATTGTGCTAGGGGCTGTACAAACACAGAACAAAAAGATGGTTGTGCCCCAAAGTGTTTCCAATCACTTGGATCCTAAGGTGATAGATACCTTACAGAGAATGATTGATACCGATCCCCTGAGCTTCAGGCCCTCCACCAAAGACAAGATTTTCAGCTGGGGTAAATCAGCAGTGCCCCACTGATTTACACCAGCTGATGAGGAACTGGCCCACATTTTTCAAGCTGCAATGACATGAGCTCAGAATAATGGTATTTGCTGCGATTAGTAGAACTTTTCTCCCATTTGCTCTTCCAACACCCAGGGAGGGAATACTGCTAGGACTTGCTGCTGCTTTCAGAAAATCCTGCTTGATTTTGGAAGGGACTATTTTACCAGAAGGTGGAAGAAGACAAGGAGCCGTACTCTGGTCTGTCTTGTTCCCACGCCAGCCCATTGGCAGTCAGGGTAAATGAGAGCAGGAAGTGAACCTTGCAGGAAGCAGACCCTATGTGTAATCAGCCCCACTGAGGGTATAACACAGACACTGCATACAAAGTCCCAGGATATGGTTTGCTCAGCAGTGTGGGGCAGCCCCAATCATTAGTCTTATGTGCTTATATTTTATGTAGAATGAAATTCTTCACTTAAAATCCCAACAGAAGTTTGCTGATGACAAAAGCAACACCAGCCTCAAGGAGATGGAGGTAAGGAGCTGTCCGGGGAGAGCCTCACTAGCCTGTGACTTACCCCCTGGCTGTACGGTATGTACTGTATGGGCTAGATTCTGGGCCCTTGGATGCCGTCTGCATGGCCTGGCCAGGCACTGGGATTTCTCTGCATGGGCATTGGCAGAAGGAGCTATTCCAGTGCCAGTGCTGCAGCCTCTGAGGCCGAATGCTACCCTCCTATGGAGGAGAATGGCCATTGCCCTCCATTGGTCCTGCTCTGCCCCTTTGCCTCCAGGCCACCCCTGAAAACCTCTGCCCAGTGGGGTTCAGAGCTCTGTAGTGTGCAGGGGTGCAGACCCACTGTTCAGGGTCCTCCGATCCAGCCCCTGCCCCTTCCAGCACCCTTAGTTCTAGACCCTCCTTGACAACAATGGGTGTCCCTTCCCTCCCCTCCTGTCAGCTCTGATACCAGTGTGTTGCTGAGGGGGCAGTGATTGGCTGAGCCGAGCAGAGGACCCTGCTTTGGCTTTTGCCAGCCCTTTCTCTCAGCCCCTGTCTGAAACCCCTCCGGCTCAGGAGGCTGGAGCGGGCTGTGCGAGTGCAGGCCTGACCTTGTGACTGGGAACTGCACACCAACCCTGACCACCCTCCAAGTCAGATGGGCTCAGGGTGTAGCCCTGTCAGTCACCCCAGGCCCAGTCTATGCAGTTCACGGAGCCCTTGGCTCATTCTTCCCCACAAGTGGCCCTTCCTAGCCACCTGGGGCCTCCCAACTTATTGAGATTACTTGGGGGAAGTGGGGCGTTGTTAGCCTGTCTCCTAAGTGCTGAGTATCTCCTGCTCCATGATCTTTCAGGGGACACTTGGTGGTGATGTCCTGCATACTTTAGTCCTGCCTGGAGAGCAGGGGACTGGACTAGAAGACCTCTCAAGTTCCCTTCCAGTCCTATGATTCTGTCATCCTCAAGGGGCTGCCAGGAGGAGGCTACTCCCCCCAGACACATGGCATCAGTAGAATTACAGCAGGGATGAGATCAGTCCAAAACCTTTCCACACTGGTTTGTGCTCAGTGTCTTTCACACTCACCTTCTGTGTGGAGATGCTCCTTGAACCCTCCAACCCTAAACTGAAATTGGGTCTGAGCTGCAAACAGAATTTGGGGTATTTGGATGGGGCACAGTTTGGGGGGGTTCGCTTTGGGCCCAGCTCTTGTACATGGTACAAGCCCTGGAGCCTAGATAACTCTTGGGATGGCTTTGCTTTGTGCTGATAGGAGAAGCTGAAGAAAACCACCGAAGAGGCCAACCTGTATGAGTACACCTGTAAAGAGAGCAGCAAGGTCCTGGACCAGCTCAAATCCGCTGTGGACTTTCTGTTTAAACAAATACACTGCGAGGACACCAAGATAATGGAGCAGCTTGGTGAGAGTGGGGAGATCACGGATCTGAACCTGATGCAGTATTTTGGTGAGTTGTGAGTTATTTTTCCTTTGCCCGAATTTTACTAAAGCTCCAAAAAAACCCAAACTATTTCAGAGAAACTCACTGAGAGAGAAGTGAGTCACTCACACATTTATGGTGGGAGTGAACGTGAGTCTAGTAGCTAGAACACGGGGCTCTTGGACTTCTGAGTTCTCTTCCTGGCTCTAGAGGGGAATGTGGGGTCTCGGGGCTGGAGCAGGGTTTGGGGATCAGGACTGCTGAGTTTTATTCTTGACTCTGGGGGGGAATGTGAGGTCTGGTCTATTTTGTATAGCACTCCAGTGGTTGGAGTGGGTCTGGGGAGCCTGGATTCTGTTCTTCGCTCTGGGAAGAAGTGTTGCCGACTAGTTAGAGCAGAGGCCTGGGGACCAGGACTCCTGAGTTCTATTCTTGTCTCTAGGGGGGGACCTTAGGGTGTAGTCTGTTTTGTATAGGGCCCCACAAACCCAAGGCCTCACCTAGCCAGTGATAACCCATGTCACACAAGAGCTTGAAATAGAAGCCAGGTTCCTGCCTCCCAGTGGGGCTTTTGCCAGAAGTGGTCTCGGAATGGACGGTATCTATGCCTGGATCTGGGGTAGGGTTGCCAAGCGTCCCGTTTTCGACTGGAACGCCTGGTCAAAAAGGGACCCTGGCGGCTCCGGTTGGCACCACTGACCGGGCCGTTAAAAGTCCGGTCAGTGGCACAGAGGGGGCCCGGGACTAAGGCAGGCTGTGTTCGGTTTTGTGTGATTAGAAAGTTGGCAACCCTAATCTGGGGGGGGAGTCCATCCGTTTCAACTTGTCCCCCACAGGTATCATAGAAAAGAAAACCAATGATCTCCTGCTCATTGAATCCTTCCTGCGCTATAAGGAGGTCGAGGGAGAGCAGGATTCGCTCCCTTTATTGAATCCATTTTTGGGTGGCACAGGACTCCTTAAAAGTACAGATGCAGCGAAATTCCCCCCATCTTCCCCTACCATAGAGCACATGGCAGAGAACATAGAGGACTGTAAGTACTCACACCTTCTCTCTCAGCCTCACTTGCCTCCAAACGCTACCTATCACACGCAGGAACAGAACCATAGAGGCCTGGCTGGGGCGGAAGCAAGGAGACTGCAAAAGGAACAAAATGGGGAATGTGAATCAAATGGCAGGATCACAGCAGCCAGAGGTGGAAAAGGCTCCCAGGATTATAACCGTCTCCCCCCACGCACTTGCCAATACGTTCCCATCTTGGCTTGTGCTCCATCCAGCCTGGCTTGATATGGCTCTAGTGATGGGGCTTTCACGACTTCCCTTGGGAGCCTGTTCTGAAAGATCTAACTGGGCCTGGTTCCCAACTACGCCAAGGCCCTTTTACATTGCCCTGGCATAAAGAAGCCTTAAAGCAGGTGGAAAGGATGCTAGGATAATATCCCCTGTGGAGGGGGCTGCCCCGGTGGGCATAAGGGCTCTGCGCCAACCCTGCTCCCAGCTCCTGTGATGGGATGGCTGGAGTGCACTGCACTATGGCTGTTCTCTGCTTCCCAGGGCTCATAGTGGCCAGGGGAAGTGAAGCATAAGAGCAGCCCTAGGGCTGCTCTAAATTAAACCAGGGACAAAACGGGATCCTTTATAGCCCCAAAATATAGGGAAGCAAAGGCGGCCTCTAGCGCAGGAATGGAGTCACAGAATCAGGCCCCATAGTTTCTAAGATGGGGCCAAATGCTGGGAGTTCCCTAGGGCCTGCAGTTCCTGCTGGAGTCAATGGGAGATGTATGTGCTCAGTGCCTACCCAGGATTTGATTCACTGCTTTATTAGAGTGGGCACATTTCTGACAGTCTGGGGACTTAGAAACGTTATACTCAGATGGCCGTGGGAAAGAAATGCAATAGCAGAGCTGGGGCCATATTTAACACTAATGTGAGTGGGTGAAACTCCGTGGGCCCCTGGATTTGCATATTATTAATGAGATGGTATTAGCAGCCTTCTGATACAGTTATCAGAAAGTGTGGGTTTGCAGCAAGCGCAGTGACAAGTTAGGACTTTAACTGAAGCTCTGGACAGATTTTTCACCCTAATAATCCTAATTTCTTTTGAAACAGTTGATTGGCCTTTGGACCATGGCAGTTTGCGCAACCTGATTACTGAGAACTTCGAGAAGGAAAAGTCCAGTGGGATCTCGCTGGACAAAGAGAAGAAGAGAGGGATAATTTTATAGACCGGGGAAAGCAAATACACTGGGTATAAATAATAGGTTCTTAATTCACTTGAAATCAAAATCCGATTCTGTGCTTAATTTAAACAAAGCTAACTTTACGTCTCTGGAATGCTAGTACTGTCTTGTATTTACAATAGCCTTTGCCATCCGGCAGGATCCCAAAGCCTTTTACAAACTTAAAACAAAGCTCTACAAATTATAGGCAGGCATCACATATAATGAAATGCAACCATTTCTGGGGTGGAAAGGAGGGCAGCAGCCGTCTAACAATAGTTCACAACAGTTTGACTGCGGCACTGGGACTAGCGTCCTCTGTGTTGCAAAATGCTGGTGCACTAAGTGCATAGGCATTTAATGGCCACAGGTGGGCATGACCTCACATCTCCATCTCCTCTGCCTGTGCAAACTGCCATGGGCTCTTCAGCATCTGCACAGAGCAGGCAAGCCCCTGTTTAAAGTCCCCACAGAATAAACCAAGGGATGGAGGCCTGAATTGATGCTGCACTTCCAAGTGTTTCAGACCTGAGATGATTCTTCTGTTGGACCGTGACTGCCTCTCACCTCTTAGTACGTGGGGCTGGCTCCTCGGCTGTAGAGCGCCATTGAATTCAATAGAGCTGATTTACCCCAGCTGAGGATCTAGTCCATGATTTTTAACATCTCTGGGTTTTTTTTTCCAATTAACAAATATTCTGTCTGTAGACAAACACTGGCGAGAATCCCAGAGAACTAGACATACGGGGGGAAACTAGAAAGCAGGAGAGGCACTGTTTGAGTAGGACTCTGGACAGCTGGGCTCTAATCCTAGCTCTGCCACTGGCCTCCTGAGTGACCTCAGGCAACTCACATCCAGGGCTCTGTGCCTCAGTTTCCCCATCTGTAAAATGGGGATAAGGATACTGACCTCCTTTGTAAAGTGCTTTGAGATCTACTCATGAAAAGCTTTGTATAAGAACTATGTGGTGTTGTTATCACTATAGAAAAGCTCAAAAGTGGAAGCAACCAGCCTGACTGTTAGCTACTGCCTGATCTTCCAGTCTGAAACAGACATTGATACCCTTAGATGCTTTTGAAGATCTCACTGACAGTTCCTGTTCCAAGGACAGAGGAGACTCTGACAAGATGCCTGGGAGATCCAGAGAGGTGGCGGTAGCTTGGAAAGCTTTCTCACTTCGGGTGGTGATGGTTTTGTAGCCACGTGGGACAGCAGTCTTGTGCGCTTTGCCGAAGTGGGTTTTTTTCCAGAGGGGTGTGAATGAAGGGAGCCTGCTCCAATGGGTTTGCGAGGATAAAATCGCTGCATGTCTTTGTGCTCTCAAGGCAGACAGCCGTAGTCATGTAGCTGTTGGAAAAGGGGGCACGGTAGCCCTGCATTGCCATCAAAAGCACAATTGAGCCTTAGTTATTTTGTCTTTTAAGCACCCCATACCTTGCATGATCCCCATCACAGAGAGAGAAAGAGAAGCTTTAGTGGTCTGCGCATGCTGGCCAGTAAGAGAAGTTTACTAATGCCAGCGATGTACCGTGCACCATTGGATTAGCGGCAGTTTGACAGCGAGTCACGCAGTATGAGGCCATTTCCTCCCTGCTGGGCTTCTGCTATTTGATGTTTGCAAAGTGAGAACGGTATCACTGGGGGGCAGCACCATGTGCCATGGTAGCCCGAGCTGCACAGCCCACCTCGGACAAGCCTTCGCCACCTTCCCTGTAACCGAGTCTCGTCGTCAGAAATTCAGTCGCAGGAATTTTTCGGTGGTGACCTTGTCGAGATCTGGCTCACTGAGTCTTGTGTGACTCAGCCCGCAGCTGGAGAGATCTCTCTCTCTCTAACACACACACACACACACACACACCTTGGAGCTCTGCAGGGTTGTATTTGCCCCAGACAGAGCATTTAGTTTACAGACCCTTATCACTATTGACGTAGGCAGCTGGATTTCCTCCTGCAAAATGTATAATTTAATGTGGACACAATTCAGGTATGCATTTCCCCAGTTACAAGGTACCATCCCCATGAGTGTGCCTGAGGAATTAGCGCAACCCCGGTTCTTAATCCTTCTCTTCTCCATGTGTGATGATGTGGACGAGGTTTTTGTAGTCTAAATTTCCAGTGATGTCTGGGGGGAAAGCTGCAAACATCTGGTCGATCTGCAATGTAAACGGGCCCAGAAGGGAAAGGGTTAAAGAGAATGGTTGGGTATTCAGGTCAGCAGATCTGAAGGAGGGGGCTGGGCGCTTTTTGAAATCACTGGAAGTTCTGCCATGGGCGTCAATGGAAGCAGGATGGGACTTGGAGACTGTCCTTGTGGCTGCCTGCCCTTATTTCGCTAGCTTGTTAACCGAGCAGTGGAAGTATGGGCGGTAAAGGAAAGTCTCTAGCGCTCCCCTAACTGTAAGGCCCCTGATCTACACTAATCCTGTGCCCTCACCCCCAGCTCCACTGAAGGCGCTTGCCTGTCCACTCCTATCCCGCGGTGCGCGGTGCCGTGGGAAGCACTGATGGGATTCCATCGCTCAGTGGTTGGGTCCACGCCCCGCTCTGGGTGCTGCTTGACACCCCCCGCACAATTTCAGAGATGGCTTGGTCCCGGCCATCACAGAGATGGTGACGTGGATCTGGGCCGGGTTTGAATTCTCACCTTTTGGGGGTGTTTGTATCCGGGGGGGGCGGGGGAGTTGGGTTTGATTGGTTATGGAAAGAGGGACCTGCTGTGAAATTTAGCTCCCAGACTCCCCCAAAGCCCAGCGCTCTTGGACCCCAGGATATAGGGTGGACAGGCTGTGGGAGATGGGCTCTGTTGCAATAGACTGATTTGCTTCATTGAATTGTTGTTACTTTGTGCAATGGCCTGATGTGGTGGACCCCCAGCACCCCGGAGCCCCATGTCATGGCTCTGACCTTGGCTCGGTGCCCCCAGCCCCCACGTCACGCGAGGGCTGGACAATCAAAGGACTGTCTGTGGGCAGCGTGGGAGCGGCCAGGGACATGGCAAGCCCTGGAGTAGGGGAGTTGGGGGGGCTGCCCAGGAGGGCTGCGGTGAACAATGAGAGGACCCTAAGGAGAGGTAAGAAATGGGCTGTAGAGGACTTTTTGGTGAGCTCTGGAGAGAATTTGTATGGGAAGTGGTAGGAAGTGGCAGTGGGAATTGTGCCGCAGGATGATCTTGGGGTTGCAGCAGGGTCCAGGGCTGGGTCCCAGCGTAGAGGCCGGGCATGGGCTCCCCTATCATCCCCATGAGGTGAGGAGAATCCCCTATGGGAAACACTGAGGCACTGTTCAGTCCAGGGCAGGGGAAGGACTGTTTCATTTGAACTCTTGTGATTGCCCCATAAGGGAGGGCTCTTGCTTCGTCCCTCTGCCCAAAGCACTAGATCACCCCGCCACAAAAGGGAGACTGCAGACCAATGCGGAAACTGAGTCACAACAAGGAAACTGAGGCACGGACCTGTGCTCTACACTGGAAAGGTAAGCCGACCTGTTACAGCCTGCGTCTGCTGTCCACGCATGTGCAGTAAACAGATCAGTGCTAGGTATTGCTGAATGGTGCACCCTGTATAAGGATGGAGGTGAAAAGGAGCCCTATGCATACCTCTTCCTGGGAGAACCTCTCTCCCTGCGTCATCAGCATTTCTTTAATGCTGCAAATAAAAGAGCATGTTGTCAGAATGAGGGAGGGACGGCGAGGAAACCAGAACAGCTCCCCCCGCCCCATGCACACCCCAATCGCTGCTCTGCACTTACTAGTCAGATTTCAGGCCTTTGCCCTCGGGGTCAAACACCTTGAACGCGTTCAGGATCGTCTCCTCTGGATCGGCACCTGCAACGGGGAGCACACGCAACTGCTGCTGGCACGGAGCAGGGATTGTCCCTGCCGCGGGCAGCGCTGGAGAGTAGCATTCCCTATGGGGATGGCAGAGCCTGTGACATCCCCCGGGAAACAGAGGCTGTGTGGTGGAGAAAGCTGTCCTGCCACCACCATGCACAGCAACGGCTGACATATCTCTACCCACCCCCTGCTGTCTGGGCCACCATGGCATAGAGAGGAACAGATGCACATTCATGTTGCCCCTCCCCACCCCCAATATGTAGCTAATCTACCCAGTGTATTTATAGCATGCCAGTCTCAGAGGAGCCAGGGGCTCTGTGGCCTTAAGGAATTCTGCACCAACGTCACATAGCTCGGGTTGCACAATGGGTGAGGGGATATGGCCGCTGGGCGGGAGGGACTCAGAGTCACAGAGAAGCTGCTGCTCTAGGCAACATTGTCTCCTGAAAACCTGTCAGGACTTAGGCAGCAAATAGCCACACTAGTTCACATCAGCACGTCTGGAGTCTGTGGCACCGAACCCGTCTGAGTGGCGTGGGCAGCTGTTAGAGAGCGCGTCTCGTCTGGAGGCCCCAGGGTGCTTCCCAAAGACGTAAGCATTGCTATCTCCATTTGACAGGTGGGGAAACTGAGGCACAGAGCAGTGGCGACTTGCTCAAGGTCACCCAACAGGCTAGGGGCAGACCTGGGAATAGCGTAGTGTAGAGGAGGCTGAAAACCAATAGGAGCAATTGCTGTGTACATTAGACCTAGATGCACAGTTGCTGGGGATATTCCATGTATGAGCCTTTGACTGGCAACGCCCCATTGCCCTGTCTTTGCCATTTTCTGCCCCACCATGCTGAGGGAAGGATGCAGGAGAAACCCCAGGGAATGGCATTGGGACGTTTGCACCTTCTGTACTTTTCTGAGGGGAAAAGGATGATTTGACTCCTAGGTCCTGAGCCAAAGCCCCCTTAAATGCATGCAAAGGTGCCCGTTGAGTGCAGGATCAGGTCCTTGGGGAGAAACTGCAAATCAAGTTGCTTAATGCTTTAATATACGTTGCCCTTTCCTAGCATCTTCACTTTGAGGATCTCAACACGCTAAGTCTTAGCTAGGGCAGGGTCATTCTCCCTGGTTTACAGATGGGCCACTACAGCACAGAAAGGTTAAGTGACTTGCCCACGTCACACAGGGAGTCTGTGCCACAGCCAGGTATACAGCCCAGATCTCTTCCCCCCCCCCCCCAGCGCTGTAACAGCCACCGGACCATCCTTCCACTCATTTCGTCCCCCTTCCTCATCTCACCCTTGAGCTTCTCTCCAAACATGCTCAGGAATACGGTAAAGTTAATTGCTCCAGGAGCCTCCTTTATCATTTCATCGAGTTCTTCGTTTTTTACATTCAAACGACCTAGACAAGAAACCAAAAGACAAATCACCTGGGACATGGATTAAACTTTATGCAGATCTCAAGGTACATGAGCCCATTTTATACACAAACGAGCCTATGGATGAGTTAAAAGACATAGAAAAGGTGCATTTTTTACCATGGGAATAGTCTCCCCAGGGAAGTGGTAGAAGCTCCATCCTTGGAGAGAAAGAGAACCAGACCAGACAAAGCACTAGAAAATGTATCATAGGGAAGAATCCTGCACTGACTGAGGTAGTTCCAACTCTGATTTCTATGAGTCTCGGGAACGCACAGAACTGCACCATGGTACTTGTTGAATTAGTTCCCACCTACATTTTGTCAGTAAAACGAACAGAACCAAACGTCTGCATATTGTCATCCATAGAGCTACAAAAACAGGGCCTGATCCTCTTTGGATTACAATGCTGTCACACCTGATATGCACCCTTCTAATGAGGTGATAACCAGGCCTTATGTTTCTCCAAGGATGTACATAATTCCCATTAATCACGTAATCCAGCAAGACTACCCATAGAGTAAGGTATTACTCAGCAGGAGTAAGGCTGGCGGAATTGGGCCCTAATTAATTTAATAACCATTTTCTCTTGCCAGGGCCTAAATTATTTAACAACGTCATCCTAAAAAGTGATCCAGACTGATCAAAAATGTGCTGAAGGTAAAACATTCTCCTCTTTGTAATAGAAATGATTTTGGGTCCAGTGGTTTTGAGCAGAGGAAATGGAAGATCCAATTAACCAGGGATTGAATTAAATGGAAAGCAGAGTCGCTGATTTCTCATCTAATAATTAGTCTAACACGATCAAAGCCTTTTCTGGGGGGAAGGAGGGACGTTCTAAGGTGCAGGCTTACCCACTGCAGCAAACGTATCTCTCAGATCTGCCTTGTCAATAAAGCCGTCCCGATTCTGATCCATGATGGTGAATGCCTGGAAAGGGGAGAAAGGGGAATGTCAGCTTGCCGAACAATAACCCAGAGCGTAATATCGCTCCCTCTGTTTAGCCATGTACATTTCAGCCTGGCTAGGAACTGTCAAGAGACATAAGCCATGGCTTTAACTGTGGTTGTTCACAGCTGTACTTGCACCTGCCTCTCGCAGTGATTTATGCCAGTGGGAGCGGAGGCGAGGGCTTCCAGCAGCGTTCGGGATCAGGCCCAATGAGCCCCTCTTGTTCAGCAACGTTTGTTAGGCGCCCAGTGGTGCAGGGCTGGAGGCTGCTCTCCGGTCCCCTTTGGCAGTGGCGGCGTGACGCGGGCTGAGGCATTACTCAGCTGCCCAAAACTGTCCCCCTTCCAGAGCAGGTGTCTCCACCCAACCTCCTCACCCTATGTGATCAATTGCTAATGTCTTGGGAGCCCAGCTGACAACTGTGCTCATGAGAATGACATTAGAAGATGCACTGAGAACGCTAGCAGAGGATGGTCCTCTCTGATTGATGGACCTTGCAGCCAATCAGCTAGAAGAGAGCAGATCTCCCTGTCCAAAAGCTCAGCCAGGGAGCAGGACCCATGGGGCGGGAGATTATCCCTAAGAGGTGGGAGAATTCCTTCTGTAGGAGTCAGGTGGGGGGTGAGAGATGTTC